AATCTGCTTCAATCACCCGGACATATGGTTCTGATCCGAGCTAGATCTTGAGGGTAACCACCCCTTCCGGCTCGATTATGTCCCCGCTGAAGCCTGAGAGAGGAGTTTTCACCGGTCTCAGGGTTCCTTTCTGGAGCTCAAACACTAAGAAAGCATCCATATACAGTATGTTAACCGAGCTTTCATTGTCCACAAGAACTCTGTGAACAATCGCATCCATGACTTCCATCTTTATCACCAAAGCATCCCTGTGAGGTGAGGGACATGGGGGGAGGTCGTCATCTGTGAAAGTGATGGACTCCCGCTTCTACCTTTTGTCAGCAGGAAGACGGTTGATTTCTCCGACAAATAGTTGGCGACTCCACTTCTTTCTTTCCCCTCAGTGTCTCCTCCCACAGGTCTGCCATAGATTTGGTTGACATGTGGGTGCTTTTGCTGACCTGAATCCTCTCCTTCATCATCATCCTCGAGTTGGGCTCCGACCTCCCTCTTTTTACAAGTTGAGGTTGGGTCGTCTTTCCCTTGGTTCCAGGTGTTCTTCCTCGGAGGGTGTTGTCCCTGCTGGCTTTTCTTCACAAACTGGTCCAACTACCCTTCACGTATGAGCCTTTCCATATACTTCTTCAGAAGGTAACAATCATCGGTTTGATGTGTATCACTCTTATGGAGCTTGCAATATTTACCCTTAGTAGCCTGGCTGTTGACAATGTTGCATCCCTCTGGGATCGTTATAAAGTCTTGCTTTGCCGCATAATCCAAGACAATACTCACCGGATGTGTCAATTGCGAGAAATCAGACTGGCTGGATAGAGGTCCCTCCGGAACACCCGATTTGCTCTTTCCCCAGCCCTTCTTCTTCTTCTTCTTCTTCTTCTTCTTCTTCTTATTAGTCCCATTCCCCTTGTCTAAGTCATGGTTTTCCTTCTCTAGGGCCTTCTTCTTCCCATTCTCGTGTTGGTGCTTTCCGGTCTCCTCTTCTCTCTTCCTTCTCTCAGCCTCTTCCACCTCTGCTTGCGCATTGGCACGCAGTAAAGCTTCCTCGTGTGAGGTCGGGGGGTTGTGCACGAAATCTTTGTATAATTCTCCCGACCTCAGAGCGTTGGTGAGGATGGCGACGACGAATTTGTTATCCAGGTTGTCTACCTTCACCGACTCGTCCCTCCACCGAGCTAGGCATGGCAATGGGTCAGGGCGGGGCGGGTACTGCAAGACCCAGACCCGCCCCGTGACTTGAAGGGGCGGGTCTGCCCCGCCTCGTGACCTGCATGGGTCCAAACTTGTTGACCCATGACCCGCTCCATGCGGGGCGGGGCGGGTCTGCCCAGCCCCGCCATAACCTAATTAGCTAGTGTATATTTTTATTTGTGAGTTGTTACCAATTGAATCTACATAAAGTTTATCTCTAAATAGTTATTACAAATTAATATATTAAATCAAATTCACGATACGTTAGAAATTTCAAAAGTTAAGGAAAAATCACTTAGACTTGAATAGTTAATCTATTTAATTATATTAAGACTTGAATATATGTATTAAAATGCTATATATAAAGAAGACATTGATAATCCGTCGTTCATATCAATCTAATATATATATATATATATTATAAGATCAAAGAATTTATGATTTATAGAAATTAGTTCAAATAGGACTAAAACTATGGCAAAAACCTAAAATAGGACTTGCTATGTTTTTATTCCAAATAGGACCATATGAGTCCTATTGGAAACATACCTATTTTTGCATTCCATTCTTACCCTTCCATTAAATATGAATTAAAAATAGTCAAAAGCCATAATTAAATGTTTAATTCATAATAAATTCGAAATAATTCAAAAATTCGTAGAAATATATTTAAAAAATTTATAATTTTTTTATAAAATAAAAAATTCAAAGACTTTTTTTTTAATAAATTTTATTTTAAAAAAAAATAATAAAAAATAGTAAAACTCCGTAAAAAATATTTAACAAAATATGGATGCCTTTCCCACCGCCTGTACTACCTCCCAGCACCACCACCTCCGGCCGATGAAAAAAATGCCATTTTCCCAGAAAAATGCCATTTTTTTCTGAAAATGCCAAAAAAGTGGCATATTTCTCTTTTCGAATGCCAACATTTTCATTTTTTTCTGCCATAAATATGGCATTCGTAATGAACTTGGCATTTTTCCACCTGGTGACTGGAGGTGGTGGTGCTGAGGCGGCAGAGGCGGCGGCGATTTTTTTTTTTGAGTTTTTTTTTTTATTTTTTTAATTTTCGAAAAAAAAATTAATTAAATTTTTAATATCGAAATGTTTTTCTTAATTTTTTAGTATTTTTTACGAATTTTTATTTTTTTTATTATTTTATTAGGAATTAAAACATGTTAATAGCTATAAGGGTATAATTGTCCAAGGTACACATAATTAGTCCTGTGCAAACATAGTTCATTTTTTGGTCCTATTTGTGAAAAGTGAATGACTTTTAGTCCTATTTTGATAATTAACTCTATGATTTATTGTATACACACAGATGTATGTTGAAGTTTATTTGTAGTATAATTTAAGAAAAAGTATGTATATATTTATATATTGAGCGGGTCGGGGCGGGGCGGGGCGGCACGGGTCAATACTAATACCCGGACCCGCCCCATTGTATAGGCGGGGCGGGGCGGACCCGCCCATTTGCAAGATGGGGCGGGCTAGACCCGCCCCAAATGTCTCGGACCAGGGCGGGCCAGGTTTTTTTGACATCCCTACACCGAGCTAGGAAATCGACTAAGCTTTCTTGAGGGTCTTGTCTGATCCCTAAGAGGTGGGGGAAATTCTTTTTGGAGTCTTTAGAGCTGCTAAACCGAGCTACAAATGTGTGAGCCAACTCCCTAAAATTTTGGATCCTCCCATCACGTAGAGAGTCATACCACTCCCGGGCTGGCCCGTCCAGGGTTACTGAAACCCCCCTACACTTGATCGCATCACCGTACCCCATCATCAACATATACGCCATGTACCTAGAGACGTGGTGCTGGGGATCGGTCTTTCCTCGATAGGCCTCAATATTGCATGGCATGTATCCTTGCGGCAGTGGAGCGTCCATGATCTGGCGATGAACGGCTCGGGAATCCTCACATCATGGTTTGGGTTGATCCGGCCATCCACTTCCCTTCTGAGCTCGTCCAGTCTGCTTCTGAGGTCATCGTTGCCATGGCCCACCCGAGCGCGAGGTGGGGATCGGCGATCTCTGCGGGCCTGCCGGTTGACATTGATCTCGTCTCTGGGATCTCCACCACGCGCGTTGCGGCGATGGGATGAGACAGCCGCGGACGACGCTTCCTCACTTCGCTCAGCCCTGGATGAGATTCTATCATGCGCAGAAATCCGTTGCCCACCAATCCGATCCATCACTGAGGTTCTCGGGGTCGGCCTAGAATGATGGGACCGCTGAGACCGGGCTGACGAAGAGTTCCTCCGTTGTTGCTCATTGTCTCTCTTCCTCCCGCTGAGGCATGGATGGAGCCCGGCGAGGGGAAGGAGGTATTGTGTTATCATCATGGATGATACCTTGAAAAGCGGTGATTAGAGTCTCCACCGCCCTCTGGAACGTTGTCAAACTTGTCAAGGCTTGGGCCGGTTTGACGTTGGGGATGAGGTTCCCGGTGCCCGACGTCTGGAACCACGGTGGTCGCACCGCCATGCGTCTAGAACTCCCAACGCCATGGAGATGATTTCTCAAATCACCCTGAACCGTTGTGTTGTCGTTGCGTCTTCAGAAATCGCTCTGCCATGACCTGGAACCCTCGTCCTCAATCACGACTTGATTGAAACGATCGCCACCTTGATTGCTACCCACACGGTTGTGACTGTTTGATCCAATCATTGTCTTCGTGGATCGTTCTCTCAACGAGAGCACCAAATGATGGATTTTAATCCAACTACGAGAGCTATATATACGAGAGCAGATGAAAATATGGCAGCGTAAGGCAGTATTTTATTATCCGGAGTTCGGTCCCTTGATAGGAAGTTTACATGAAGTATTTATAGACTATATGAACTATTATTCTAGGAGGAAACTGCTACAATAAATTATATTAATTATAGGCTCAATCGAATAAGACTCCTATAATGTCTTGAACATTGTGCAATAATTGTTCATTTAAGTCCACGTTCCTGATGTTATTTTCTGAATGCTGCCAGATAGCTATGCACCAATGATAGTCTGCCACGTAAGCCCTAGTAATATTCCGACCTCACTGGAACTCCGCTCAGACTCGAGGTCCGCTGTCCAGCCTGACTGTGGGTTCTTGTTGTGAGTCTGATTCCTAGTTAGGCCCAGCAGCTATTTAATACTTATTTTGTTTATGGGCTAATCCTGTTATGGGTTGATCCCGTTTGAGGGTTTGATCCCGTAATGGGCTTGATCCTGTTATGAGCTAATCCTGTTGAAGGCTTGATCCCTTAATGGGTTTGGTCCGTACTTCCATAATTAGGTCATGGTTGGAGTTCATGGTACCATAAAAAAGATGAGACAATTTTAACATATCAAAGGGAATATTAATTAATTTTATTGTTATTGATAGTAATGTAACAATATATATTAAGTAAAAATATTGAATCTTATTTATACGTGGTACATTAATATTAAAATTTAGTCCTAATAATTTCTATAGAACTTGGAATAATACTAGGGAAAACTGTCAAATAGGTCCCCGAACTTTCATAAAAAGGTCAATTAAGTCCTTCAATAGGAGGTTCTGTCCGACCGTTGCAATTTGGGCAGTTCCCGGTGGAATTTTTTGATGAAATTTTTTGAGCATCTTATTCACAAAGTCTAGTTTACTCATACCAAATTTCAGCTAAAAATTCAATCGAGAACATATTCAAATTAATTCTTGAAGATAACTGCACATTTTTGCGTTCTCGAATTAATTTGAATGTGCTCCCGATTAAAGTTTTAGCTAAAATTTGGTATGAGTAAACTAGACTTGATGAATAAGATGCTCAAAAAAATTTATCAAAAAATTCCACCGAGAACTGCCCCAAATCGCGACGACCGAACAGAGTCTTTTATAGAAGGACTTAATTGACTTTTTTGTGAAAGTTCGAGAAACTATTTGATAGTTTTACGGTAATACTATGAAGAAAGATTCTTTGCTAGGCAACCAGTAAAAAAGAAAGGAGAAAGAAGTCATCATGATGACGAAAAAACCAAGTGGAAGGCATGCCATGCTTGAAGAGTCTTGTCTGTTTAACCCAGAAAAGCAACGCATAGCTTTTAAAGAACCCACCATTATCACATATCATCAGTCAATGTTTGACAAGAAAGCTAACTTAACTTGTGCATCTTTCCAAAACCATACACTTCGCAATTAATTCATCATTTCTACTTTTTTCCCCATTCCGATCATAGCCGATGACATTTCTTGAATTCTACTCTGACCCTTCCCGCCGGCCAGTTAAAAACGTCTGCCCAAAAATGCATGGATCCATATTTCGAGTAGCTTCATACCCACTGGCTCGCTGCTACATTATACAATATCTATCTAATCATCATTGACCGATTGAAACAAAAAACAAAATGTGTAAGGCAGGCAATGATTATCCGCTTTTCTTAATCTTTTAATTATTCCGGTGGGTCGGGTTCTTTGTTTGGGCTGAGCCGGACACGGCGGCGGGTGACCAAAAATCAGCGCCGTTTGGAGGAGAATGAGAAGCTATAGGCGAAGTGAGGTCGACGGGGATAAGACAGAGTCCCCTGTTCCTTAATTTCAATCCGGCCCTGTTTTCTTCCCCGCCGCCGCCGCCACCGCCGTGGGGAGTCGGCTGGTTCTTCAGATACGGAGAGGAGAGGGCTTGGATTTGATCATGCAGAAACCTTAGGTAACTCTTCGCTTCTTGAAGCACCGAAGCTGTATCTCCCTGCATGTTGTGGTTTCCATGGCTTAAAAAATACAGTAAAATAAAGAAATTTATAAAATACTTTGTAACTTTTAAATTAAGTTTAAAAATACTTTACTCGAATGAAAAGATGAAAAATTGGAGGACTATCTTACTTTGTTACACTACACTTATCATATTAAGGTTGTCTGCTTATTAAAATTGTTTCTATCATTTGAGTGTTTGAATATATATTTGAGTATTTGAGTGAAAGTGAAAGAATTTTTTTAGTTGTTCAAATTCTTTTTAGAAGTATTTTTTTTAATTGAAAAAGACAATTTAATCGAATCAAAAAAGACAATTTAATTGAAAATGACAATTTTAACTTCTAAAAAATGATTCTGATTCTACTTTGAAAAAAGCAAAAAAGACAAGCAAAAATGGAATCATTTCCAAACACTCCTAAGTCCTAACTAATGATAATACATAGTCATATACTTGTACAAGTTTCATTAGGAATTCTATTGCAGAGTAAGACTTCAACATATATACAATAAAAATTCAAAGCTCAAAAGGAGAAAAGAGTAAGTATAGCTCAATTAGGAAGGCAGTATATATGTATGTTTTTTATTTAGTGCTAAAATATACTGCGTATGTAGTCTTTTATTGTACTATACAAACCTTGCCAAAGGGTGACACAAGTTTCTGCAATGCTGCAATTCTATCTCCAAGACTCTCTCTCCTCTTTGCCTGCTGCAAACATATGCATAACTCTATAGTTGTTAATTACTAAGAAATGTTAATTTAAGCATGAATTGTCTTCATTAAATAAATAAATAAATCAATAAATAAATAAATAAATTAAGTAGCTGACCTTTGTGGCATGGGCAGTCCCACTGGGCTTCTTCTTCTTGCAGTAGTTTCCCCTGTTTTGATTATCTACATCCTCCATTTCTTCCCCGTTATTTTTTCTCTTTTTCTTCAAGTTCTTAACCAAAGCAAATGGATTCCAATTAAGATTTAAAAGAAGAAAAGGGGGTCCTAAGAAAAGGCCAATAAATAGAATCAGAAGATAATTATTAGCTTCTGCTTTAATTTGCATGTCACCTTGATGGGTCGTAAATCATCCTCTGTACCAAAACAGAGCATATTTGAAGCGTTAGGGTGGCCGGAGGAGGAAGAAGTGAAGTTGAGGCAGCCGTCTGAGCCCGTCCCAAGGCTCACAACGACGTCGTTAGCATCGAACAGTAGCTGGGAAATGGTCCCGGCTCCTCCCACTGAGTCATCATCCGCCATTGCCGGCCTTCTCACTGTTCTCAGTGCATGCAGAATAATCAAGCTAAGTACGAGAGAAGAATAGAGTTATAGAGAAGCTTAATTCTTGCAATTCCTATATAAAGTTCAAAGGTAGGGAGTAGGATGCGACAGGGCCGTAGCTAGCTGCTCATGTTTTCTTCTCTTTTGTGTAACTTAGGTTGTGCTTGCTACTTGCCCTGCTAGGTAGGTGACTAAAAAATGGACCAAAAAATAAATCCGATTGGTTTAAAAAGGGGAAAAAGTATAAATATCACAAATTTGGGGTGTGAGTGATGGAGTCTTGACTCCTAGAGAGAAGTGAGAGCTAGAGAGAGAAGTGGAATGTATTAATGAATTTTATGAACCCCACAACTACTCTCAAAGGGAGTATTTATAGAGAAAATGTGGGCTGAGTTTTCAAGTCTTGGACTTGGGAGACTCATCTACAACTGGACCGCTATTGGGCCGAATACAAGATATGCAAAACTGGCTAAGTATGAAATCCTGTTCTGGGAGCTTTTCGTGGCTGACGAGGGCATGGCCGACGAGGTCACCCGGTTCTTCTGGCTTCTGGATCGTATTCTGAGTACACTTCTTTCTGGCCGATGGAGGTCATCCGGCTGACGGGGGTCCCACCAGGTGATCGTGGTACCTTCTGTTCTTCTGAGTATGTGGGTACTGGGGTCCAGACCCATATACTCCATCAGGAGTCCCCCACTCTCCGAGCTGAGAAGTAGACGAAGTGAGGGAGGGTAGATTCCATGGTTTTGACGTTTTTTGGCCGTTGTGACGTCGCTATGGGGTTTTCCCTGTTCTGGCCGTTGTGTGGCCTTCATTGTGGACGAAGAGTGTCCTGCATTGCTGTGTGGCCGTTGTGTGGCCTTTCGATTTGAATAGCTGATGCGGGTGTTGTCGTTTTTTGGTTATCGATGGTTGCCTTTGATGGACTGGCCGAGGAGGCCTCACGTTTGTTTTGTGCTTAAGGCCGGAGTGGTGGTGTCCGTAGCTTGGTGTCCATGCTTTGAAGACGATGGCGGCACCGATCCATGATAGTGCGTATCCTGGTCTCATGGACGATGGTGACCTGAGGACGTTGAGCTCTTGTCTTTAACTTCTTGGCCGATAGTGGAGTATGTGACCTGGAGGCCGTTGAATGGCTTGTGATCTCAGGCCGATAGTGGAGAGAATTTTGTCTGTTGACTTTGCTGCGACCGAAGGTGCTCCACAAGGTCATGGACGTTTTGGTGCATATATGTTCTGATGTTGTAGTTGTGGACTTAGTATATTTTTGGATTTCTTTGATTTTGTCCTCTTGTATCCCAGAGGCCGGTGTAGTCCCTCAGTCCCCCACTACTTCAAGCCAAAGAGTGAGCGAGGGGTGAAGGAGTAAAGGATAACCCTAGGCCGAAGCGGGGTCCTTCTATTCCCCTGATTCCAATTCCTTGGTGATTTCCTGACCAAGGTAACCCTGTGGGAGAACCCTTGGACGCAGCCCCGCAGGTCGCTTTCAAGAAATTATCATCAGGGTTTTATACAAGGCTGATGGCTGCGGGGTTGCTTTTTGCTTTGCTTTTGTGGCCGTTGGAGAGGCCATGATATTGGTATTCTGTTTTTGGCCGATATGGGTACACTTTGTGGTGACCTCGCATTTTGAAATTAATGTTGGCCGTTGTGGCCGATGTAGGTGTTAGATGTCAGGCAACCGTTGAAGTAAGATTGATTTTCTCTGGTGAGGCCGTTGAGTGCCTTTGCCGTTTGTAAATGTCATTAGTCCATGGGTTGAGCCGTAAGTGCTTCCTTTGAAGTGGGCTGACTGCCCCCGAAGTGGGCCTGGCCCGTTTACGAAGCGGTGCCACCTTCTTGGGCCTTGTAGTGGTGACCGCTGGGGCAGCCAGCGATGGTGTGCCACGTGTAATGACCGTTGGGGGGAGGTCTATAAATACCCCCCCCCCTCCCTCCAAAGAAGCTCCCCATTGCATTCTTGAGATAACGAAGTGCTGCCCAATTCTAGAGAGATAAAGGCTGTTCGAGTGTTCTTCAAAATTTCAAACGTTCAATGGTCAGTTCATCACACTTTCCTTCATTTTTTACATATTTTGCTTCCTTGGCCTTCGATCTAGTGTTAGTCGGTGAACCCTACTTAGATCCAAAATAGAACCTCCTAGGGCTTAGTAGTTGTTGTAATGAAGCCTTTGGACGAAAAGTGCTACCCTTATGACGACGAGGTCTCTGCAAAGTCCCTCGATTATGGGTTGGTCAAAGAGTTCTGCGAGGAGATTGAAGATCTGAGCTCCTTCAAATATGGGGAACATGAGGACGAGGAGGGCCAGGACGAGGAGGCCGCATCGTCATCTGAAGGCGAGGACGTCGGGATCTCCCGTGCTGTGGACAGGGCATCTACCTCGTCCACCATTCCATGCCCGAAGCTGATGTCAGTTGTGAAAGGGAAGGCGCCGGTTAGGAGGACTCATCGGCCGAAGAATGGCCCAGGCTTCTCCTATTTGGACCTCACCAATATCTATATCATCAGGTCGCAAAGTAACGCGGGTGCGTACTTGGTCGCCCAGATGTATGTGGGGCCATTTGGGAGGGTTAGGGCGCCTAGGCAGATGGACCATGTACTCAACCCTCCGGCGGGGTATTTTGGAGTCTACCCGATGAACTTTTATTAGTTTGGCGTAATACAAAGTTGAAATTTAGGAGAGCAGGTTTGGTGAAAAAGTTGACTAATAAGCCTAATAAGCCGAATGATGGAGTTTAACCAACTACGAGAACTATATCTAAGAGAGCAGATAAAATTTAGACAGCGTAAGACAGTAATATTATTATTCCGGAATTCGGATCCTTGGTAGGATGTGTACAGAAAGTATTTATAGACCTTAGATTCTAGTAATCTAGGAGGTAACTTATCAATTAAATGTTATTAATTGAGATAGAGTCTTGTAACGCCTCGAACATTGTGCAATGATTTTTTCCCTCAGGTCCACGTGCTATGTATGAATGATAGCTTGCCACATAAGTCGTGGGAAGGGTCCGAGCTCGCTAGAACTCCGCCTATGCTCGAGGTCTGTTGTCCAGCCTGTCCTGTTTGTGGGTTCCTTTCGAGGGTTGGATTCCTAATTAGACCCAATGGCTCTTTATTATTAATCCCGTTCAATGGGCTGATCCCGTTGATGGGATTTATTTCAATTCAGTCTTTGGTCCATGGTTGTATTCCATGGTACCATCACGAACCCCCTACTTTCTAAAATCAGTCGGGCTGTATTTTAGGAGAGTAGAAGATTTCGAATTTTGAATTTCCATTTGTGGCGTCGCTTCGCATTAAATGTGAGTGACACGTGCCTGACTCCACAACTTCCCACTCTGTCGTCCCATCTTCAGCACTCGAGTGCCTTGGAAACGGTTGCAGAGCAGTTTGAGACACTGGGGCTCCCACTATAAAAGGTACATTTTCTTCTTCGTGCAAACCTTCTGATAATATGCGCCTTTCAAACCCTAGGCAAGAAAGCTTTTCATCGTTCCAGCTTCCTTCCCCATGTCAGTCTCATCAATGTCTTCTTCTAGTTCCGTTCCCCTTCACAACGTCTTCCCCGACGATGGGGCTAGTTCCAACCAGTCTAAAATCCCGATGGATTCTCGGGGAATAGAAACTCATTTCAATATCTCCGCTGATTTTGCTCGCGCGGTTTCGGCCGTCGCCATCTCTGACGCTGAATTTAGTGAAGCAGTGGCCCTCATCGGGCCCAGCGTTGTCTGCTTTCGCCCTACTCCGGAATAAAACATTGTAGAGCCCCATTCTCCCTGCACTTTGGGATTCACCTGTCTAGCCTCAAAATTGGCCTTCAGGTTCCCCTCCACCCTGCTCTTTTGCATGTCATGGTCAATTATGGGGTCATCCCCGGTCAACTCACCCCCACCACACATTTGTTCATCGCTAGGTTCATAGCCCAGTGTCTCTCTCTCAAGATTAGGCCAACCCTAGATCTGTTCTTGACATTCTTCCATTCAGTTCAGTCTAACACCTCCGAGACTCAGGGATTCTTCTCAATCTCTTAGAGGGCAGACCATCGCCTGTTCGCTGCTAAGTCGTACCCTTATTCTTTCAAGAATTGGAGGTACAAGTGGGTGTGGGTGACTCCGGTGGATGGCAAGATTCAATTTGAGAATAAGTGGGGGGCGGAGTTGATCCGGCGGTGGACCATGCCCATCCTGAATGAGGGGACCGAGTATGCTGCTAAACTCATCGCTGAAGGTGTACGCAATAAGGAACTCATAATTATTCAAGTCACCCCACAAACTTTGAGCTTTGGCAAAGTACATCCCAACCGTCATTCCTTTCGTGTGCACACATCTCGCGAAATCTGTTTTGACTTTATGTATTCGAGGTCCGTCGGCAGAGGAAAAACATTCTTTAAGGTCTATCTACAGTCGTGCAACATTTCTGTAACGTGCCAAAGTAGCTTTGAAATCAGAAACAATAGTATTCAATAGCCACGACACAAGCATTTAATGTATTGTAAGCCATTCCTCTTCGCTGCAAGGTGATGTCAATTTTTTGATACCCTGTCAACAAACATGAATCTGTGCCTTGCACATAAGGCCATCCGTATAGCATTGGACCAATCATCATAATTGTTTCTGGTAAGACGGACCGAAGTACTGAAGTCACTGGGCCGATCTTGAGGACACAAGAAGAACGGTGAAGTGTGATCAATCCTTGTTGCGGTATCATCGAATAGTGTCCCTTCTGCATCATTCGCCATGCTTACGGATTGAGATTACGAGTGCTCTGATACCATGCCAATTTTGTAAGCTATATGTATGAGCGGTGCGAATAAGGGAGAAGAAAAATCAATCTATTATTCTGTCTTTCGAATGCATCGTACATTAGTTAATATAGCCATAGCTCTTTGCGTAAAACTCAGCTAACCCTAAAAAATATGGTAGAGATCCTGAGTGAAATCAATCACCCAAAAATACAACGATTAAGTCCTTAAATAAATATTCTGAAAATAACTCCCAATACTCCCTCTCTATCCAAGCATAAGCATCATCAGAGAAATCATTGCTGTATGACCAAGTGACGTCACTCGCAAGTCAACGTGACTTAACCATACAAGGCGTCCATGAACATAGTCCATACCAATGCTGAGTAAGTAAACATGAATAACAACGTCACATTTTGGATTGAATGAATAGCGAAAATATTCAATAGTCAATCATGGGCCACACATGGACAAAACGTAAAGGAAGCATGAACCACGTCTTCCTTGAGATTCTCTTCACCCGTGCAAATGTGCAGGTAGCAAGCTCTAGCTTCAACTTGAAATGGTGGGCCCCCAAAGGGGTCAATACGCGAATACCGAGCGAGTAGCAAGCTAAATGTAGAATAACTAATGTTTCAAGTATAAGACCCAAACATAGGGTGATACATATACTTATGTTCCTGTTTCCCCAAGCTATAAAATACATAACCGTATATATATACACTTGGAAATACCCAACCCGTAGGTCATTGTTTGTTTAGGAAAATAGTAGTAGTCAATATCCTTGACTTAAAATCGCAACCCACCCATAGACCTATGAGTGTAAAGGACTCCTCCTGGTCCAAAGCAATAATCATAAGGACACCACTCGGTCCTGAATTACTAAATAGTAATCTATGAGTTTTGAGGACAGTCCAGTCTCTGGATACTCCACCAATTTACGTTCTGAGTTTTGAGGACAATCCAGTCTCTGGGTCCTCCGCCATTTATACTAACCGAGTTTTGAGGATAGTCCAGTCCTTGGGTACTCCACCAATTATATCAAACCAGTTTTGAGGACAGTCCAGCCCATGGGTTCTCCACCAATTATACATCCGAGTTTTGAAGACAGTCCCATCCTTGGGTACTCCACCAATATTTATTCATTCCTATGATCTACCACATATCATACATAGATATGGTCTATATCATAATCATTATCAAGACTAAATCAAGTCTTATAGCCTAAACATAACTTTCCACGCAAACCATGCATTAAAACTGCATTTGAGCAAAACAACACCAAACCGGCGCCGAATCTACACCTAACCGGTGTCGGTTGCCCCCTGGGCAACCAGTCTACTCTTCGTTGACTCGCCATTTCGAATCTAATTCATGTCAAACTTAATCACAACATGTATTAAGTTATAAGCAACCACTTTATGCCCTTTTTATCCTTCAAAACATCATATATGTTTTTATAAACATTTTCCATATCGTGTTTCATGCATATCTCAATAGTTCATTTCATGTAAGCCTAATCACTTTGGCTAATCATATGTTTAAACTCTTTTAAACATAATTATGAACACATATAGCATTCACTTAGGTAATCTCATTTTTAGCCCAAGAGTTACAAAACATTAAGTCGTCCACTCACCTCGAATGAGCTTTAAGAAGTTCTACCTTTTTCGGTTGAACTCCGGCGAAACTCCGACAACTCCTTCAACTCGGTGAAAGTACTAGGAACACCTCAGACAAGTTCCTAACAATGTTCTATCATCACAAAACTCATATCAATACAAATAACGTCTAAAAGGCTATTTTCCGGTGAACCGGTCACTTTGGCTTATAAGTCTATTCTTCGACTTAGAACTACCTTCCAACCCCTCATTCTACACTTCTAAACATTTAGAACAGTCATAGGGGTACTTCATATGATATATAAGTCATATGATTGATAAAAAGTAGAGGAAAAGTTGTTATAAGGTCATTATCTTAATCCTTCACATGTTTCCTAATTTTTCCTTCTTTGATGTTCCTCCTTGGACATCTATTGCTTGAGCTCAAATTTTGCAGCTATGGAGGATGGTTGAGAGCTTCCTTTCTCTTCCTTGATGGCCTTGATCGAGCTCAATAGTTGGAGGGAGGAGGGGATGACCCTTTTTGTCTCTTTTGGCAAATGAGTGAGGGAAAGGGGTCCATCTTTTACCTTTGATGCTCATCACCTCACTCCTCTTTATTTCCAAGTCAAACCAGCTCTCTCAACTTAATTTGAGAACACAAGAACGTGGGGTGGCCCCCACTCATGTGGGAGGTCATCCCTTTGTGTCCCAATGCGCACATTCGGTTCCGAAAGTTGTATTGTTTGGACTTTTTAATTACATTTTATTTTATCTGGCTAAATAAAATATATGTCATATTCCCAATCACCACGGGACTTTGTAATGAGTATACATTCCTCAACTTTAATTTAGAAGTCTCTGAAATTCATTTTGGCCTATTATCCGATAAATTACCAATACCGGTAATTGGGCCTCGTTTGACCAACCGGTCAACCCTATGCCTTTTTCCATGGCCCAAATAGAATATCCACCACCATATACATATTATCTAGACCAAGATGAATATAATATGTTTTGCCAGAAATATCAGGTGGTCCCCGTTCCCGGTGTAGGCTCACGTGCAATTTACTAGTAGTTGGTCCAGTGCTCTGGCTCCGCCCCTGGCGACTTATGACGGTGGCCGGCGGTTGTGATGGTTAACATTGAGTTGTGATGGTTACCAACGATTTGGTGACAATTACCGGCAGTTACGATTACTGGGAATTATTAGGTTGTGTGCGGTTTTGATTTTAAACATCAACTTAAGATTTTAGATCGATCATATAACTTGCTGCATGTTACGTATGTATTTATAGTTTTATACTACTTTTATATCGGTGGGGCTGTAAAGTATTAGTATGGTAATAAACGTAATCCAAGTTTAACATCCTGGAGCATATATAATGTTATCATGATATATGGAGTATTAACAATGACATTTCCTACTACATGTATATATAATGTATAATTGCATGTACAAATAAACAAATAATAATAATAATAATAGTATGTTGAACGTATTTTCCGCCTACACTTTTCATCGGGTTACGCGGTGGCGGAAGCCTCACCGCTGGTAGTCTAAGGGACATCACCGGTCCTTATCAGCGGGTTATGTGGCGGCGGAATATATACTTTCTTAAATAATACGAAGTACATTTTGTTTAGCTACACTTTATTTATGGCAAATACATCAATAACATCTAATATCGATCCAATGGAAGATATTAGATTAAACAAAAATAATTTTACCATTATTAGTAAAATGGCTAAAGTATTTTTTTATGCTCTTGATTATTGCACTAGAGCTTAATAAATGATATTTTGCATTATTATTCAATGAACCCAATGGCTAGTTGTTTGATAGTGTGATTAATCATTGTATATATTTAGCCTAAATGCATGAACATTATGATTTTGCCCAAAGGTGATTTTAATGTTTGTGTGGTAAAGTTTAACTTGTTATGTGTCATTATGCATGATTGTTAGTGATAGCCAACGCGAAACTAAAAATCAAGCAAGACATTAGTATACCTATTTCTTTGGTGTTATTAATAGGTTTAAATATATGACATTTTAAATATCCCGATTAAATCCCTTTATTTGTATATAGTTTCTTTTACGCATATGTCTAACTCTTTATACTCCTTAGCATCCACTGTTACTACGAATTACGGAATTGAACCACTTACCGGCACTAACTTCATCTCACGGAAAGACAATGTTAAACTCACCCTTGGACTTATGGACCTCAACCATGCTTTGAGGTATGACCCCCCTGAAACTTTGACCGCTGAATCAACTCATGAGCAGAAAAGGTTTCATGAAATTTGTGAAAGGTCAAACCCTATGTCGTTAATAATAATTAAGAACTCCATTTCTGTGGCAATTCGTGGTGCTATCCCTGATTCGGATAACGTGAAGACATACATGGACTCGGCCGAGGAACAATTTAAGGGCATCTCCAAGGCTCAGGCAAGTACATTGATTTTGAAGATGTTGACCACAAAATACAATGGTACTAGTGATGTTAGTGAGCACACATTATGATGCTGAGCGATATGGCAAATAAGCTCAAAGGCATGAATATGGAGATAAGTGGGGTTATGGCCCCTTCAGCTTCTCTGTTGGTCAGCTTATAAGTTGTAATTAATCCCCTTCCTTCGATCTGAAAGGTTCTGTTTCCATTCTGCCAGCTTCCATGAACGACAATCAAGGTGTTTGATCGCTCGCTTTGTTACCCTGTTTACGCAGGTGCTGAAAACTTGTCGTCAGTGCCTATGATATCGTAGGTTTCTTCGCACGGTTGATGAAACTCGTTCGTTCCCGTTCGCCTCACGTACGACATCTGCTTTATCAATCTGAATCTGACTGTCATCCTCTGTGTGTTGTGGCATAAAATCACTTCTGGATTGCGTGAGATGATGCCCTGCTTATATTGGAAAAGACAGGGAGCCAAATATGATAGAAGAAGATTTTCCATTCATCCTGAGCCCTGCTGCCAGGACAGCAGCGGCACCCGGTATCCATAATTTCACCAGAGCGCTTCCAAGAATTTATGATTTATTATCTGCGCGCACACACGCACATACACATATTTGTAGTATAATCTTAAAAAATATATGTACTTATATATTAAGTGGGGCGAGTCAATACGACAGATCAATAATTAATACTTGGACTCGCCCATTGTGTTGGCACGGTGAATCCGCTCCATTTATAAGATAGAGCGGGCCGGACTCGCCCAGATGTCTTTGCGGGCCCTTTTTTTTTACATGCTTGGTGCCAAACGTGGAGTCCATAAGGGAGCTATTACTACCTCCCCCCTTCACATTTCGTTTCCCCCCTTCAAAATCCTCCACTGCATCAAAGTTTTCTCCTTCCTTTGCAAAATGGCAGCTTCTTCCTTAAGTTCGTCCTTTCTGTCACCCTACACCCAACCCCAACCTAAACCTCAAATCCCTACGGCCGCCCGCTTCTTCTCTCCGATTAAAGCTACTGCTCATTCCGACGAACCCGCCGCCACCCAAGCCCAAAAATACCGGCGCCCGGCTGACTTGAATATCCGCGAAGAGGCGCGACGGATCTGCTCATCCCACAACTTCTCCGCCCGCTACGTTCCCTTCAATGCCGATGAGGACTCCGACGAGTGGTATTCCCTCGACGAAATCGTCTATCGCAGCCGCTCAGGTGGATTGCTCGATGTCCAGCATGATATGGATGCTTTGAAGAAGTTCGATGGGCAGTACTGGCGCTCTCTGTTCGACTCTCGCGTCGGGAAGACGACGTGGCCATACGGCTCCGGCGTCTGGTCTAAGAAGGAGTGGGTCCTACCGGAAATCGACGGCGATGATATAGTGAGCGCTTTCGAGGGGAATTCCAACCTCTTCTGGGCAGAGCGTTACGGCAAACTGTTTCTAGGCATGAATGACCTGTGGGTCAAACACTGCGGCATTAGCCACACCGGCAGCTTCAAAGATCTGGGCATGACAGTTTTAGTGAGTCAGGTTAACCGGCTGAGGAAGATGAAGAAGCCAGTTGTAGGGGTGGGATGTGCCTCAACAGGGGACACGTCCGCTGCCCTATCTGCTTACTGTGCTTCCGCAGGTATCCCATCCATTGTCTTCCTGCCCGCAAATCGGATATCCCTTGCCCAATTGGTTCAGCCCATTGCAAACGGGGCATTCGTGTTGAGCATAGACACTGACTTCGATGGCTGTATGCAGTTGATTCGCGAAGTCACTTCAGAATTACCCATTTACCTGGCCAATTCTCTAAACAGCCTGAGACTAGAGGGTCAAAAGACAGCAGCCATTGAAATTCTGCAGCAATTTGACTGGCAGGTTCCTGATTGGGTCATAGTTCCGGGCGGAAACCTAGGGAATATCTATGCATTTTATAAAGGGTTTCACATGTGTAAAGAATTAGGCCTCGTCGATAGGATTCCTAGGCTTGTTTGTGCTCAGGCAGCTAATGCCAATCCGCTCTACCTCCATTACAAATCAGGCTGGAAGGATTTTAAAGCTGTGAAGGCCAGTTCAACTTTTGCTTCTGCCATTCAGATTGGTGACCCTGTATCTATTGATAGAGCTGTTTTCGCGCTGAAAAATTGTAATGGCATTGTAGAAGAGGCTACAGAGGAGGAACTGATGGATGCCACAGCTCAGGCAGACTCAACAGGGATGTTCATATGCCCTCACACTGGTGTGGCATTGACCGCGTTGATCAAGTTAAGGAATAAAGGGGTTATTGGGCCGACTGATAGGACTGTGGTGGTTAGTACAGCTCATGGCCTGAAGTTTACTCAGTCAAAGATTGATTATCACTCACATGCCATAAAGGACTTGGCTTGCCAGTATGCAAACCCGCCTGTGCAGGTCAAGGCTGATTTTGGATCTGTCATGGATGTTCTTAAGAAATATTTGTTGAGCAAAGAATCCAAGCACTAGGGCTTTCTTTGATTCTTGGACGGAAATTTTAACTTCTGCTCATGTATTAATAGCACTACTGTCTTTTACTGGTTTTTCAAACTTTGTTTACTTGCCATGTAGATTTTTTTGGAATAAATTGTAGTGCATGGAATGCTTCAATTTCATATATTACTATTTTGACTTTTTTAATTACTTTGTTAATTTTTTTTGGAATAAATTAATGATTAAAATTGTTGTTTTAATCATTAATTTCTTCTTTACATATACTATTTTGACTTTTTTAATTACTTTGTTAAATTTTTAAAATGAATATTTTCCTTAAACTTTTTAAGTCTTCTAACATACCTCACAGTCAATTTGTCACAAAAAATTAAAATTCGCAATAGCATTTTGTCTCACGATTGTAGTTAATAAACTCACCACTACAGTTGTTTTATTCGTGCTCCACCTCACACTAACAGTTACTCCGTATGACAAAGGAATCTCAAGCTATTTGCTAGTGAACTTCTTCAAGCCCGTATTAATTGTTAAACACATTATCTTAACATTGATCTTTCATGAAACTGAATGATATTTTTTTTACGGGAATGACTATCAATTGATTGAATAGATGACATGGTTTTTTGGTTAGTAGTCAATATTTCATTGCCATGGTAATATATTGCACTGCCGTACGGGTCATAGATTCTCACACTATTGTGAAATCAGGATAATTTTTTGAAGGACTTCATATACATATATATTTTGCATTCTTTATGGTAGCTGTGCAATGCATATGTAAAACATAAGACCTCAGAGCGAATAGTATGCTGATCTTCATTCCTCAAAACTAAATAGGGGTCCATTTGTTCAAGCTCGAATTATCAATGCAAATTCTTCTAACAGGGGCTTCAGAGCCTACGCATGGTGCAAGATATGCACATGATCTTGTAAAAGCTTTAGAGCTATTAGTGCAAGATGTTCCTGATGACCTGAAAAAACTTGCTCGTAGCTTCATGGCAAAGGTTGATCAGGGACTTGAATAGGCTCATGGTACTGGTTATGGAGGCAGTGGCTTTGAATTTAAAGAGGAAGATGAAGTTCGGAAAGTTGCAAAGAAAGCTCAAACAAAAGAGTGGGTTTGATGAAGACAAATCAGATTCAAAGAATTGGAAAAACATGAGTTGATAATGCCTCTCAGCACCAGGTGGTTGTGGCAGCTTCTTTGGTTCCCGCTGCTACAAACATGGCTCATAGTGGAGTACGTGGTCGGTGGTCCCCTTGTCAATATTCTCATTCAATGTATCAGCTATGACTGCAGAGTTTCTTGCTTTGCTGCTAACAATCTGCAGCAGAACTTGTTTACGCTTCAGGATGAGGTCATACCTGCACACTATGAAGCTGAATTGGAAACAAGTAATTTTCCTTGAAATGCTAGTTGGAAGGTGACACACAAAGGGACCCTGGGTCCTATATGAGATTGGTCTGGAGCTTCCATCACAACTAGGGGTTACCATATCCCACCTGGAAAGGTAACTAGACCAGGGGTAAGAAAAAAAACTATACTTGTTCATCAAGGGCACCACAGAACAGTCTGTCAAGAGGCAAATGCAGAGTTTGAAGTGTATGTTACAAACTATGCAAGCTACATCACTTCCAGGTTCAGCTCAGCTGGCACGATACTGAGTTGTGTAAGGTACTTCTGAATACATGATTGATGTTTAATATAAGGAGGTTCTAAAAAACATGTTGAAGCATGACGTGCACATTGTAATTCATCGAGGTTGATCTTTTTGTCTTTTGACCTATTGAGACTTGGTACAAGTTCTCGATTTGTTGGTTTGGTCTTCCGCTCTTCATCTTAAGAAAATGAACAAATATTCTTATCTTATTTGTTCTTAAAATGTGATACTCTTTTTAAAATTTGTGTCCTCTTGTTTTTGTGCTTTTTATCTTAAAAACTGAAAGTATCAAACTGATACCCATTTTGACGCAGTTGACTTAAGTACTCTTGATGAAAACCATGGTACAAACATCATGTTGTGACTTGCAGATACTTAGGCTGGACAGGGTTTTTGTTTTTGCAACTTTTGGAAGTTATTTCATCATTGGGCACACCGCAAACCTCAATAAAAGCTTTATGAAAAATGCTACTTGTACACACCGGTTTACACAAATAGTTTCCTTTACTAAAATCAATTGTGTATGCACGGACAAAATGCATAAGTCGGCGTGTAAGTCGGCATGTACAAGTAGAACAATTGAAGCTTTAATTCACCATTTGTTTTTTATGTCTCTCTAATCACATTAGGAAAATAATACGTAGTACATATAAGAATGATAAAGCAGTTTTTAAACCATAACATGTTCTATTGAAGCGCAAAAATGAAATTCAAATACTCTGTATCATATGCGTAGTATAAAATCTGATATACCAAAAAGTTCAGTTCATTGTACGATTAGTGACCATGACAAAGAAGGCGGATCGAAGCACAAATTGGAGTTGTAAAGTGTAACACACATCTACACAAAGTCATTGTATAGAAATTGCTTATAGGAAAGTTACATCTTTAAGCGAGATTGGAGAATATAAGTACGGGATAATAATTAAGTTATTTTAAAGTACTACGTATAAAATTAGGAATGACTCGTAACTTGCCTCCTTTGGAGAATATCAGCAAACAGCTGGTGGGCATAACAAAACGTATCAAGTATCAAGCTTCAAGCAGAGCAGATATTCTTCAACCTAATCGCCGACGATTGGTCCACCGAGTACTGGAACCGCCGAATCCAAAAAGGGCGGACAACAAACAAAACGTATACATTAGCACATAGTACATAGAACTGAAGGAATGAGAATACAGCTCAAGTATGGAGTAGTACGCGGAAGTGTGAAGCTGTTCTCTAACCTTTTGCAAGACCCAGATGGAATGATTGTAGGTACGTTGAAGCAGCTCGTGGAGAGCGATTGAATCATCGGCGTCAACTTCTCTGTAGTTGACGAAGTTCTCTCGAGCGTATTTGGCATAGTAAGGCCTTGTGTCTTCAGGAAGTCGCTTCACTAGCCTGAGTACCTCCTTGTACGCCATTAACGCCTTCTTCATTTCGCTGCACCTCAGCATCTAGACCAATTCCCTCTCCCCTCTTCACCACCTGCTTCGAATTGTAATCCCTACAAATGGTTCCTGCTATTTGGGCATAAAATCCAACCGGTACTGAACTGTTCAGTAATGATACCGAAATGGTTCTATAGATTTTTATCCCGTACCGAAACCGAATCGTTTGAAATGGGTACGGGACCGATCCTAGATTTTGAGAACAAAAAAATACCGGACCGAACCGTTTGAAAATAATGCATTTGAATTTTTTATAATTTATCTATACCAATAGATCTCTTTTATAAACAATTTTATAGCCCACATATGTATTCATGCGTTCCTAAACTAGCTAAATGTGTGTGTTTATATTATATATATTGTTATTTTTCTTTTTTAGATAATTTATGTTATATTTTGATATGTATTGAAAGAATATTAAAATTTTAGAAATCATTAAGAACTATTCATTTCTAATAATGTAGTGTACATGACTTTTTGTGGTATCATGTTTGCGCAATTTTAAAACTTAATTAATATGGTTTAAATCTTAGCTCTCAAGGTTCAACTATAAATTAAATTATATTAATATGTAATATTTAACCTTGAATGAAGAAGAAGAACATTGAAGATTTCTATTATATTGAACAATTTGATGATATTCTTTTTATATTTTCACATGAACTAAGTAAATTAAAGATGATATTTATCTCGTGCGTCATCGTTTTGCTACACTTTTTCTTAGTTGCGTTGCACTATTTGTGTATTTGTAAATTTTAGTACTACATATGCAATTTCTTGTATTTATATCAATGTTTCATGTGAGTTGATTGGTGTGAAGATATCTACCAATTGCAAGATTTGTTCAAATTTTTTAGCATGTGTTTTGCATTGTACCGTACCGTTTTATACTGTTCTGAAACGGTATGATACCGAACGGTTCTATCCTTGAAACCGGACCGTACCGGACCGTTAAAAACCTAGCGGATACATTACGGGTTTTACTAGTATACCGGACCGTTCCGGACCGCGCTCACCCCTAATTTTTATAGGGCTGAATTCTACTCCGTATAATACTCAACTATGAGTAATACGGAGTACTCCCTACTAGCATTGCAAATATTTTGTGACTGGATTGATTTTGGATAGGCGACCATGTTAATAGCCAAACTATTTTTATAGATCTTTTTGTGTTGTTTAATAGACAAAATATGTTTTAAATATAGAGTATTTTTTTATAATGCAACAGATTCATCCAATAAAACCATTTCAATAAAAGTTTCAACTTATTCAGTCAATTTGTGTATTGCTAGATGGACTTTAACAAGCAATGCATTAATACTAAATTTTGCAACTAATTTGATTTTCCCAAAAATTATTACTTTTTTAAAAATAATTTATGTTTCTTATTATCTACAAAATGATCTAATTTAAAAAGAAATAATTTTCTTTTTTTAATACAAAGTTTATTTACTTAATTCGCGTAATGGAGTGGTATAGTTTTCCTGAATTAGTACTGGCCTTTTCCTAAATAATTCTCCTTAGCCTTTTTCATCCTTACCTGGCATTTTCTGGGACTAAAATATTTGATTTCCTTTTCTGCTTTCAAGATTCATTATTCTCTTTGAACTCATCTTGTTTTTTTCATTCTTTTCTCTTTCCTTGTCAGTGCTGTCCCTCACTTGAATATCAATCCTCAGATGAACTACTGGCCTGATCTCCCCTTATAATCTCAAACAGTGTCAAGAACCCTTATTTGACTATATATCCTTAATCCTTTCTCTCATCCAATGGAAGGCAAACTGCGAAAGTAAGAATTGTTTTCCTTGCATTATATGCATACCCTTTCCGGGGTGTACCAAAAATAAATGAAAAATGTATGCATAATGCATAAGTTGCATACAACAAAAGGAAATGATGGAAAGAAATAGGAGTGAAAGTGAATTCCACTTTTGATACTTTAACTGTGATATCATTTCCACTTAAGGTTCTCAGCTTCCAAAAGTGCAGAACATTTGACTTTGATGATCCACAATGCCTATGCTTTGTGAATATTCTTTAACTTTATAATTATAATATGTGAGAATTTTGG